GGGCAGGAGTGTAACACACACGTTGAGGTTGTGGGCGGTAATGGTCAGAAATTCAGAGGGAGCGGGCAGGAGTGTAACACACACGTTGAGGTTGTGGGCGGTAATGGTCAGAAATTCAGCGGAAGCGGGCAGGAGGATGAAGAAAACAGTCCTGTGCAGGGCTCTACTCTATATCATCAAATCACCAATCATGATTAGATGGCTAATGTTATTAAATAGAAACATTCAATCTTGTCTGTAGAAGCATTGCAAATTGTATTGATTTAATACATATACACACATACAAAAATGTATAATATGCGTTTTCATTAGTATTTTATGCTAGTGACAGTATTCGACCCACACTCACCGGTAAAGCACTGCTCAATAGCTGTAGGTGCCAGCTAGTATTGTTTAGTTTGTTGCTATGGTCCCATACAGGGATGCGAGTCACATGGTGGTGGTACGTCAGCAGGTAGTAGTAAAATCAGCTGTTCCTCACCTGGTGAATAAAGGAACTGAGAGGGTGAGGGGGGAAGTCCTACTTCGCTGAACACTTGATATCGTTCAAATGAACTGACTTGATGTTTCTAGGACTGTGGGAACATTTCACTGCAGTGTTTGGACTGTTGCGTCCGGTCAGTGTGTGGTTTTCTCCACAGCACTGGATGTCATGAAGTTTTGATCCCACGCGATTCCTGTGGCTGTTGATATTGCTGGCTTTGCTTGGATTCTCATTCAATTCAATTTTATTTGTATAGCGCCAAATCATAATATGCATTATCTCAAGGCAGTTTTCATAGAAGGTCAGGAACATAAAATCAAAATATAGAGAAACCCAACAGTTCCCACAATGAGCAAGCACTGTGGAAAGGAAAAACTCTCTCATTAACAGGGAGAAACCTCTAGCAGAACCATGCTCAATGTGGGCGGTCATCTGCCTCGACCGGTTGGGGTGAGCAAAGTAAACGGGAAGAAGAGGAGAGATGGGTGGAAAAGAGGGGAGAGAAGAGAGAGGGATAAATATCGGGTACACTTGAGCGCTATCAGGTATCAGATCTGACTAGTTAAAAAGTAAACAACAGTGTAAAGACTAGTAATTATTATTGATATACACACACACATTCATACAGTGAATCTATTGAGTGCTAGTTGTGCTAATAAGGGGCAATTCAGGGTTCAGCATCTTGCCCAAGGACACTTCAGCATGCAAATGCTGACCTTCTGGTTGGAGGATGACCGCTCTACCCCTCAGCCACAGCCGCCCGCTTATGTGATGAATGGACTGTTATTTCATTTTTTTATAATGATATTATGAAATGTCCAGATCCAGTCCAATTGTTATTGATCCAGCTGCTTCTGTTGGTCTTTAGGGGATACTACAATTGTGATGTGTGGCCAACCAAAATTCATCCCCTTAACATTCATAACCACTAGTCTTTACCCAATTACCATTACTTACTCCCTATAGGGCAGTAGATCGATAAGGGAACAAATAACTTTGTTGCAGGCCAATGCTACCACACTAAAAATGCAGAAAATAATCTTAAAAGGCCCATAAAGATGCCAACTAGTCACAGTTTAATGCTATTTTTGCCTATTGGAGTGTTTGTGCACTCTAGATATCTAACCTAGCAGGAAAACCCCATTTACCAGTATATTCCCCAATGGCCTAAGAGGAATGGCAGCTGGTGCCAGGAACACACAAGAGTTGTTTTACTTAAACGAAGATACTTTTGAGAATTTGGAAATTTCTATAGTATAAATATTATTGGATTATTGATACATATTCATCAACATGTAGGATGCATTTAAAAGCTCACTCTGAGGTGAAACCAATTATTATATATTGTCGGATAGTTTAAGGCATGCATGCATCATGTTTAACAAATTGTTAACATGTTAAATAAAATACAACATACAAAATATTGATGTGCAAAGTAAGTGTTACTGTCAGGTTAATGTTATGCAGTAAAATGTACAGTATTTCCCTCTGAAATATTATAAAGTAGTAGTAGTTTGCACTTGAATGAATATCTATATATATCTATATAGTCCGTCGTCGTTCTGCAAAATGAGCCCAAGGAAAAGGAGCAGCATTTGGATGCACTTTTCGCTTGAGGCAGACAGTAAGGCTAAGTGCAATATTTGCCAGAAGATAATTTCATTTAAGTCTGGCTCCACAAATAATTTGCACAGGCATTTTAAAACTCAACACCCCACTGTTAAAATCTCAGAGGTGAGGAGAGAGCATGATTCTGACGATGAAGTGGAGAGTGCCAGTACTTCTGCCTCCACATCAGGCAGACGAAGGTGTTGCATGAATAACATAAGTCAAAGTAGTTTTACACACATACACACACTTTATACAAAGGGTAAATAGTGATCTCACTGTCAACTCAGAGGGATATGGCAGTGGAATATTTACAATGAATCCATATCAGACCTTAAAATATTTTCCACACATGTCAAATGAAGCCATAATCAATATTTCAGAATAATTCAAACTCAAATATTGGTGGGAAATCTGAGTTCAAAATTATTCTGATCCAAATCTCAGCCCATCATTCCTCCCTGTGATTATTTCAAGGATAAAATGAATTAATCCCAGGCTGGCTTCTTAAAAGTGAATAAATATAAATATGAGCCAAATGAGCCAGTCTTTGGAATGGCTCTTTGAAATGAATGGATCCCAAAGATCCGGCTCCCTCCAAAGAGCCATAAATCCCATCTCTAGTCTGGCAGCGTTCTCTGTGAAAAAAGGAATATATAAGAAATGATGATATCAAATGAATTGTCCAGGACGTGACAATATTTTTCATTCACATTTAACCATTTATTTTGTTTTCCATAGGTTTTTCTGCTTCTCCAGCCCTGACTGAAGTGCAACAGGAACACTGGAGTGGACATTGCGGCATCTTGCCTACAGGTGGTGATAGTGTGCATTCAGGCGGCTGCGGGATGCGAGGAAGAAGAAAGTCCACGGTGTTTTCCTGGGTGGATGGCCCACTCTGGATCCAGCCTGTCAAAGCTGCACTGAAAGGAGAACGACGTGGGAATAAAGTCAGTTATATGTTGATTAACTATTGTTATGTTACTAAGTGCAGACTGTATCGGATTGCTTGATTAACTTAGGGGGCTGTCGCTTGTAAGAATTGTTTATTTGACTGTTTGAATGCAAGGCTGCATCGGTAACCTACAAGAAGGCGTATGATCGCTCATGCAAGACAACGTTTGCGAATGAAAAACAGAGAATTGAAGTTATCAGCATGTGTTTTAGTCGTAAAACGTTGACTTAAATCGCGATAATACACTTTAATTAGCCACGTTAGTTGTGACTAATATGACATCTGCTTGAAATTAACGCATCATTACTCGGTGTTTGTGGTTATATAGTAACTACATTTACAGTCCCTAGTGCAATCTGCCGTGAGTGTGTGAACCCATCTGGTAGCTGTCAGCTAATGCTAAAAGTTCTCTGCGTTAGCGCTAGCGAAGTAACTTTAAACGACTGCCCAGCAAACAAGATTTGCGACACGTTAGCTTAATGCCGTGATTCGCGTGGTAAGCACGGACACTTAATTACAGTAACTAATAATCCACCGTTTGATTTACCTGTAACATAATCACATTTTCCAGTTTGTGTTAGGTCAACGTTACCGTTCGATGTAAGTTATAAATATAGCACTTCTGTCCAGCAGTAGCTTTCTCTGTTGGACGGTCCGATCACACACTAAACTCTCGGTAAATGCACACGCCTCCTGGAGATTAACGATATAGAAATGTAAAACATTATGTGTTGTGTTTTAGCGTTCCCTGCTCTGTTCGCCTTCCCTTTACTTCCCATGATTCCCGATCACGCCAAGACTCGCACTGTTTGACATCACCGTCGAAAGTTTATTTGTGAACGGCTGCTTGCCAAATGCTGAATTGTTTACTGCTTTCTTAAGAGTTTCATGTGCGACCGAACGAAATGTTTATCACCAGTGATTGGTTACTCACAGGTGCGGCTTAGTTTAGCAGATCAACACCAAAAAATGTTCACCAAGATGGACACATACGAGTGGACACCATAGGGAAAGGAATCATTCAGTTTCAGATTTGTTGAATGTGTTGTATTCCTTTTCTGTTTGCTGACCCTGTGGACTGGTACCATTGATTCACAGGATGAATGTTTATGGGCTATTAAAATCTGGAAACTAATCAGATGATTTGTTTGTTTTATGGTCAAAGACAGACACATGTCATCTACTGATGGCATATTACAAGTACACATTCAGTGAATGGCACAGGTAATGTTATGGAACCATATTATCATTATGATATATTCCTGGATATGCCGACTGATCCGGATTTGCACTGCCCTGACCCATACTGCTTTCCCCAAGTTTCATGGCAAAGCAGTTGTGTAATCCTGCAAACACAATTAAACAACTCTATCTCACAATGTTAAAGAAAGTGGAAAAAAAATAACTGGATCTGTACCAAAATTAAATAGGTTCTTATTTCTCCCTCACAAAATTTCATGGAAATCAGTTAAGTCATTTTTGTGTAATCTAACTAACTAACTAACTAACAAACAAACACAGATGAAAAAACAACCTCCTGGGTGGAGGTAATAATGTTAATTAGTGCTGCATGATTCATCTAATCGCAATCACGATGTTAGCCTGTGCAATTACATAACCACAAAAAGCAGAAATTCAATGAAATATTAACTGTCAGAGTAGATTTCCATTGTAGCGATTACATGTTTTTGTGAAAAAAAATTTGTAAGGTTATAAGTTTGCATTTTCAAGAAATATGCGTCGAAAAACTCAGTAATCTGCATTTTCTTTGATAACCAAGCACTTAAAATACCATGTTTATTATATCGCAATATTGCATATCATGTAGCCCTAATGTAAATGAGACTTGTTCGCTGCCTTGTATGCTACAATGTTAAATTTTACTTAATAAAACTTGACTTGAAAACTGACTGTCTAAACTACTCTGTTACTCATTGAGACTGTTTCCTTTTTTTATGTGAAGATAATCATATTTCATTTGTCCTGCCTGTTTCATTCAGCAGGTGCTGTTCAGATTTGAAGCAGTGACTGAGACTGCAACAGGCCCAAAAGAGAAGTCCACTGCTCCCCCCACCCCCCAACCTCCCACTCCTGACCCTCTCTGAAACAAAGTCCTCACTATGAATGAAGTTAATATTGTCAGAGAGGGCTGGCTCCACAAAAGAGGTAAGGTGTTATGCTGTCAAAGGCTTCAATCAATGGAAATCTTTCAGTTCTAACACAGAATCATAAACTCTAGATGTGAATCAGATGGAGCTAAAGGGTTTATTTTAAAAAGCCAGTTGCATTCCAGTTGATTGACTGTACTTTACATTGCATCTCTTTTTTTCTAACACAGGTGAATATATTAAAACATGGAGGCCCAGGTATTTCATCCTGAAGAGTGACGGTTCCTTCATTGGCTACAAGGAGAAGCCTGACCTAAATGACCAGATTTCACCTCCACTCAATAACTTCTCAGTGGCAGGTTTGTCCTCCACATGTTAAAATATGACTAATACCTGCTGCAAACTAGGACAAAATAACAGATCTAACTGATTTTTGATTCCTTAAATCATGAGAACGGACGCACTAGTCACCTTTGCACCATGTACCCTGTTCTACACTCCGCCCCATATAATGGAACATTTACTTCTGTGATATGTGTTAATTTAAACCATATTGATATTACAGATCATTTT